TATTGCTTCACATTTCCTCTTTGGATTGAGTATTTTTACTTTATACGAGTAGACCTAAGTATGCAGAAGGACAAATCATACAAAATATGGCTCATAATAAAATAAACTAACTTACTGTAGTAGCAGATGAGCTGCTGAAATGAGTAGGTGTGGCTAAACTGCTTGATGACATAGTACCAGTAGACACTGTAGCTGAGGAAACTGTAGTACAAGTAAATGGATTAGTGTGACATGTTGATGTTGAGTGAGGCTTTACAATTTCCATACTAGGCTTTGGCAGTGGTTCAGCTGTCACGGTGATAGTTAATGCCACGGCACTAGTAATCATAGTAGATTTGGGGGTAGTCTGTGAAGCATTTTGACTAATATTTATAGAATTACTGCTAATCGTCGTCACATTTGCGGGTAAACCAGCTCCAAGTAACTGTAAAAGGTGTAGAGCAGCCAACTTATTTGCATACATTATCCCCTCTGTGCACGCCTCTGAGTGACTTCTATAGATCACGTAACAGTTTACTAATTTGATCACGTGACAGGCTGGCCTAGGCCTGGTTCAAGTTTGATGCAGTTTAGTTTAGTGTACTTCTGCAGGTAGTCTGGTAGATCTATGCAAACTAGCTGTTATCCTTCAGGAGTGCACTTGTTTTATATATGCAATTTGCATGCTAAATTTCTTTTAATTTTGATAATCAAACAGCTATAGGGGTGAGGTCACGCACCGTAGGTGTCTCATTACTTGTACCTGAAACTGAATGTTTTCAGTAAACACTTTTATAAGAATATGTGTTATTGTAAAATGTCATTATCATGAAACTTGTTATTAACTCATTTTAGTTAGTATTAATTGAGCTGGTACATACTATTGCCAGTGTATATCATACTGTCCAACTATTAAATTACTGTGATTGTTAACAGCAGAAAACTAAAGTTATGTAACTTGGTATTTTTAACAAGAAGAGCTTTTTGTATTTTTATTCAGCTTGAGACCCTGGGTAGCACTGACCCTCACCATTGCTATCTGGATACTGTCTGCCGTATTAAGTTCTGTTCATGTTTTTGGTTTTCACTTGTATATTGACATTTGTTTTTCATACTCAGATAACATTGGTTTTAGAGTTTATTTCATTTTTTTAATCAGCTATTGTACTTGGGATAATATTCATCACTTCTCTTTGGACCTTTTGTTTCACTAGAAGGTTCTTCAAAGATCAGTCAGTGATAGCAGGAGAGAGTGTGTATGTCTCAAAAAAGAAGAGACTCTTTGGAATATTTGGAAGCACGTTACTTATCTATGGGATATGTTTTGTACCTAGTCTCCTCTTTTTTACATTATCTTTTTACTGATATACCCATTGTGGTTTAGTGTAGTTGCTTTCATTTGCTTCCTCTTCAATACAATAATGAGTCCTGTTATGCAGTCGTACTTCAGGCCTGAGATTAAGAGTGTTCTTATTCTTATTTATCATCACCTTCACATTTTTGGATGCTGCTAAAGCATTTAGTAATTTTAAATGATTGTGATATTTTTTTACCTTTGAACTAATTAGTAGCTTAATAATTTGTGCATTAATTTTTAAGTATAAATTTAAGTAATAATGTATATACTGACCATGCACTATAGTCATGTCATGAGCCCATAACATTGTTAAATTTGTCATAACTAATTGATGTACTTACATGTATAATGGTCATTTATTTGTATTTGTATTTGTTGATAATGGTCCACTCATTTGCAGTCACATCAAAGTACAATTGATGTATCTTTGAACGTTGTGCCTAGTGCCTTCATTGTTATTACAGTTGCATGTATCTGAAATATTTTTGGAAAAATTAAGTGTATTGCAATCATCCAGGTCACAAGGACAAGCTACTGTACTTCGTTTTATTTTTTGCTTTTATCAATGATACCAGCGTCCAGCAGTAGCACCTTTTGAGATGACACTAGCTCTGATAGCTAATGGTGTGGTACTATCTATCACACTCTATCAAAGGAAGTCCTTGAATCAACAATTTACTGGCACATCTTGTATTGAATCTGCTGTACCTTTCTTTGATTATCATTGGACTAGCTGCTGGTGAGTGGATCTTTGGTATTATGAATCAGGAGAAAAGGGCAACATGTTACTTCATTGATTTAATTTTTTGGTAGATGGTACTAGTCATATGATTGACACTAGCTGCTATATCATTTGATATTTTTTGGTCTGTATCTATCTGTCCTTCATCATCTGCTGGAATTGGATTCATTCTTTTTTCAGTTATTGTACTTGGGATAATATTCATCACTTCTTTTTGGACCTTTTGTTTCACTAGAAGGTTCTTCAAAGATCAGTCAGTGATAGCAGGAGAGAGTGTGTATGCCTTAAAAAAAGAAGAGACTCTTTGGAATATTTGGAAGCATGATGGGATATACTTTGTACCTGTATTTATTGATTCATTAGTGTTCTTTAAATTAGTTGGTATAATTTTGTTTTAACGTCAATTGCATTATTACAGTAGCTAATCCTGTTGCCCAGTTTTACTTCAGGCCTGAAACTAAGAGTGTTCTTGTGACACATTGTCCTCTTCACATGTATGCTGCCAATTCATTTTAATTCTCATTCATTAAAAAAGCCTTTGTCCTCTTTCAATAATTCTGATATGTTTTCCATATGCTTAACAGATCAGTGTAATTTGTTTGATGTTACTATATTTTATGTTAAATGAAGCACACCATTATAGGAAAGCAATTATACAATGGGGTAGAAACTGTCTTATTTCATTTGTCTGTCCATACTATAGTAAATATGTTTTTGATTTTTATATTGGCAGTTTGGTTGGAGCATTAAGAGCATTTCTTTTCTCTTGGTCATGTGGTTTTTAATTTATCTCCTTGCAAAAACACTATCTACACACTGAGACTGCTTTGGTAACATAAATTTATATTTGTTTAATTCTTTTTTGTTGGTCATTATTGAATTAGCATTGTTTGTGTGCACTGCTAATGCTATACTGTGCTATGTTATTGTTGCATTATTGTTTTAGTTTCATACTACTTGTATTGTCTTCAGCAAAACTTATGTACTTAATGTCTATGCTTAATGTAAGTAACGTTATCATGTAAGTTTAGTCAGTTGCAATAATTAGTATGAGATAATAGCTTGTTGTTTGCTACGACATTGACTGTATTTTAAATACTGCAATAAGTTATATTTTAAAAAGAGACCAGCAGTATAGCAGAGAGCCTAGCATGGATGGCAACTTGACTTTTACTGGTGAGTTCAGTGGTCCAGCAGTAGCAGCAGTCCTTACTGTTGAGATGATACTAGCTCTGATAGCTAATGGTGTGGTACTATCTATTACACTCTGTCGAAGGAAGTCCTTGAAACAATCATCAACAATATTCTTCACTTCTCTTATACTGGCACACCTTGTATTGAATCTACTCTACCTTCCCTTCAGAATCATTGCATTAGCTGCTGGTGAATGGATCTTTGGTAGTACAGATGAGGAGAAGAGAGGGACTTGTAGATTCTTTGATGTGTTTATTTATATTTGGATGGTACTGGTCATATCCATGACACTAGCTGCTATATCATTTGATCGGTTTCTCTTTATTGTCAAACCACATCTTCACAAGCGGTTCATGAGACCCTGGGTAGCACTGACCCTCACCGTTGCTATCTGGATACTGTCTGCTGTATTGAGTTCTATTTATTCTTTTGGGTTTCAGTTAAAATTTGATTCCCATTATAATTGTTCAGTAACAATTAGCATAAGCCTTGGTGTCTCTGCTATCATTTTAGCTTTTATTTTTAATGGGATAATATTCATCACTTCTCTTTGGACCTTTTGTTTCACTAGAAGGTTCTTCAAAGATCAGTCAGTGATAGCAGGAGAGAGTGTGTATGCTTCAAAAGAGAAGAGACTCTTTGGAATATTTGGATGCATGTTACTTGTCTATGCTATATGCTTTGTACCTGGTGTCCTCTACTTCCTGCTTCTTCTGTTTATTAATGTGCCATTGTGGTTGAATATTGTAGTTATTGTTTGTTTCCTCTTCATTACAGTAGCTAGTCCTCTTATCCAGTCATACTTCAGGCCTGACATTAAGAGTGTTCTTGTTTTATATTGCCCTTTTCACTTTTGTGTTTGCTGCTGAAACTTATTAAAACTTGTTTCTTAATTTGTTTTTTTGTACACCTTAGTGCTACTCATAATGTTTGAATTCATTGTTTTGTAGCACTCTCAATTTTTAAAGCATAAACCTGCAAGCATGCATGATCCATGCTGATGATTAAATCTCATATTTCAGAAGCTTGAAATCACTTTTGCCAACTTAGGTAACTTCTAGTAATAAAGAAATCCAATCGTCACATGTGTTCATTTCACTTGTTTTTATAATTAGTAACACGGTAGCATTACTAAGTAGAATTTGCCCCCCTTCAAAATGGCTGCCACAACTTTTGCAGCCTTGCTATATATTTCATTAGAATGCTGCTACATCGAAATAGATAGTATAGTACACTCATGGATGTGATCAGAAAATGGTCGTGACTGGAGATACACATGCACATATTGTATAGCTGGGTTATTGCATGGCCTCTAATTTTCATTGTCTAAATTTTTATTGGAATTGATTTTTATCATTACAAAATTTAGTTAATATTTTTTGATGTTGCTATAAGTCAAGAGTGCATTGTACATAGTCTACTTGTGATTAATTTTACTTGATTGGAGCCTGCACAGAAAATTAATTCTACATGAAATGGACTAGCTTAGCTCACATTTTGTCTGTGTGGGGCTTGCTCCAGTTAGTTATGTAGTCAAATTTGTTCTAAGCTTCAGTGGATGCATCTTATGATACCTTGTATAATGATATACATGTGTGTATATTAGATTAATTTTGTTATTTTGCTCCTATTGTGTTATATTCATAATGGAGACTCTTAAAACTAGTTGTATCCTATAAGAATTTTAGGCCTTTCTTGATTATAATATGTACTATGTACTTTGAGTCTAAATCGTTTCTTGTCTTAGATGTTATACTATACTGTGCTGTGTAACCTGAACTACAGTTTGTATTTGTAATGTGATAAAAGTTCTTTTTCACTCTTCAATCATGTCATGTTCTCGTGATATTGGACCCCCAACTCAGTTTGAGTAATCCCACTATTGTTTTTGTTTTGATTTTTTTGTGTTTTTTGTTTCCTACTTACAAATGTATCCTTTTGTTTGTTTGTAGTGTTTAGGTTCCTTTGTTTTTCTTTTACTTATTATCAAAGTTGTTGCTATTATTGTCATTGTTGCTGTTATTGTTTTGTTATTGCTATTACTATTATTTGTGTTTTGGGATTTGTTTATTATTACTATAACAAATAATATTAATTGTCCAATTATTTGCAGCTGTTGAATGTTGTGCCTAGTGCCTATGTACCTGAAATTGAAATTAGTTAATGTTTTTATAAAAATAAGTGTTATTGTAA